ATATGTTTGTATAAGCCATTAGTTGAATCATTTTGAACAAGATAATACACAGATGTCCAATGCTGTTTGTGAATAATTAATTAACTGATACAGGGACTAGTCACTTAATTTGTGTGCTGCTAATATTTTACCTACCTCTAGTAAAGAACAGTCACTAGAATAAGGGTTTGCAGGATCTGGTGTATAAAATATATGCATGAATGTTCACAAACAGTAGCAGATGCCATTCTGCTTACTGCATGGGAGGACAGACAACTGTGCTTTAGGAATATTTTCACACTATACAATGATTATAACTAAGTTATCCATCTACACACCCATCACTAGAACAAAAAAATCCCAGAATGGGCAATCCCAGACAAACTGACGTTTCACTCTCATATAAATCCATATAAAAAGATACATGCTGGATAAGATACATAAGTTAATTCCATAGAAACGTAACTGGGCACAGGGGGGAAATGTGTCATGTAAAATGACAAAAATACTATATAGTGCATACCGAGATAGTGAGGAAGATAATAGGAGAGTCAAGATAAATAGGAAAGATAGAAAGATGAGAGCCAAGATAATATGACAGAAATTCAATCTATGCTCAAGTAACCTAGGAGACCGAGTGTGTGAGTGTTTCAAAGAGGCGGCAAGGGGAAGCATTGTTTAGGGAAAAAACAGTCCTCAGAGAATCACATGAGACATGAACTTTGCAAACAGATCTGAAGAAACAAAGAGACAGGTCAAATTCCCAACAGGTCTGACAATTCACATTCACAAAGTTCCAACTCAGTGAAATTGCAAATAGGCAAGTCATAAATCTCTAAAGGAGATGGTTTATAAGGGATTTAGCAATGTGCCAGTAATTACTGCATTGCAAAAGTGATGCTATAATGATTTAGAGAAAAGAAGCCAAAGTCTAAAAAAGAACAAGTAATCTAAATCTGTGATAATTAAAAGAAAAAACACTATACTTGTACTTAGGGTTTCAGATTTAATTTAGAAAAAAAAAAAAAAAACCCTCACTGTCCCATTTTCAAGTGTTTCTGGCTGTAGGGGATAAAAATCAGAAACTCAAACCTGGAAGTGAAAGCATTGTGTAAGGGTGGGCATTTGCCCATGGAAATGGAGGTTACTTACCTGTAACTTCGAGATGTGTGATCCGTATCTGTATTCCACACATGGATACGCATGAGCACCATGTGCCTGAGTCCAGAATTTATTTCAAGCAATGTCCATTGGTCTACACACGTTATAGCTTTCTTCATGCTCCCAACTGACAGCATAAAGGGTGGTGCTGGCCAACATCTCTCCAGTTTCCCATTCTTACTGCAGTGTACCCAATCCACAGCAGAGGGGACAGAGGGTGGGTAGTGGAAGACAGATAGGGACCACACATCTCAAAGAACTTCCAGTTACAGATAAGTTGTGATGTGTATTCCGGATGTAAGAAATTAACAAGGAGTAGTCAAACTGGGGATGGGTTCAGTGAAACAGAAGTGATAGCTGACGGTAGCACTGCTGTCCCCACAGCCGTATCCACAGTTGAGACTGTACCATGATATAATGTCTCATGAAGGTATGCAAAGAGCTCCATGTAGCTGCCCTACATATTCTAGTCTGAGTATGTCTCTCAGAGATGCAGCTGAAGTAGCTTCCCCCCCTGGTGGAATGAGCCTTTATCCTTTTAGGGATGGTTGGGAGGATGCCAACTAGTTGGTAACAAAAGGTGATGCAACCCAAGATCCATTTAGAAAATCTCTGTGCAGATATATATTGACCTCTTGATCATTCTGCTATGGAAACAAATAGTTTAGGTGTCTTCTAACCTCCTTTGTTCTTTGCAGATAAAAGGCCAAAGCCCTCTGGAAGTCCAGAGAATGCAGTCTTCTTTCTTCTTCCAAGGCATGTGGTTTAGGAAAAAAATACAAGTAATTGGATGACCTGACTCATATGATATACAAAAACTACCTTGGATATGAGTCTGGCATGGAGGTGTAGTGAGACCTTTTCTTTATAGAAGGTGGGCCAACCATAAGTACTCCCAGTTCACTGACTCTTCTTGCCGATGTTATAGCTATCAGAAAGGCCACGTCCATGCACAGACGTGTCATAGAGCATGTAGTCAGCGACTAGAAGGGAGTCTTAGTGAAAGATGATAGAACAAAATTGAGATCCCACTGAGATACAAACTTCACCACTGGTGGAAAGGTTCTGAGAATGCCCTTCAAAAATATAGTTGTGACAGGGTGTGTCAAGATCGTACAGTTATCCACTGGAGGATGGAAAGTGCTGATTGCTGCTAAATGAACCTGCGGGGAACTGAACGCAAGATCCAAAGACTTATGGGTAAGTAAATACTCTAAGATATCAGGGATTCCAGCGGAGTCCAGAGATAAATTGTGTTTATGAGCCCAAGTGGAGAAACACTTCCATTTAGCTGAGTAACAGCTTCTTGGCCAGTTCACAGTGCCCCAAGGTCAAACATATTTAAAGAATGTTCTCTTAAATAGGGGCTTCTTAAATGTTTTCATGGAATGACCACATCCTAAATTCAGCCTTGTGGACTTGCATCTCACCCTGCCTATCCACTATTAAATGGCTGACTTCCCTTTCCATTTACAATAGCATGCCATTCTGGTGACAGCTAATAATTCCATAACGGTAAAGCAAGTTTATGAAAGCATTAGTGTATTTTTAGCTGTATGTAGCATAAGGGTTTTGTCCATTCTGCAGAATTACACAGCTTACAATTTGCTTTACACAGTGTCTCATCCACATGTTCTGTTGTTCTCAGCTGGAAACAAGAAGGAAGGACAGATATGTGGCTAGCCAGTTTCCCGGGGCAAACAACATGGGCTCAGTGGGTCCCGAGCCCACAGACTGGAAACCTCTGCTCTATCTATCTTCGGTACTTATTATTGTAGTACCTAGAGAACAAAGATTTTCTTCTAGCATGCGTACATGGAAAGCACCATTAATCTGTAAATTTTGAAGACTACAAAAATGCCATTCATTAGCAACACCCCAATCCTTTAAAAAGGTCCTCCAAACCACAGCCACAGTTATAAAAAAATGGAAACATTTGAGTATAAAACACTGGAATTGGGTTAAAAAAAAAAAAGTGAATGCTGGAAACTAGAAGGTACCATGGCTCCAACATGGAGTTGATGGCATGGGTACTTTTTGAGGAATTATGTAGGCAGTTTGTGTGGTACTCTTTGCTGACACATCAACACAGATTTTGCTTGGTTTTATGGGATTACAATTTTAGGCAACAGGGATGTCAGGTCCCCCTTTTCAGTGGGATCGATGTGGATTGGTGCTTGATTCCCCGAAAACCACAGAGATTTGGAGGTGTTGAGGAAGTCCCCACCTCGCCTCTTCCTGAGGCATCCCAGGAAAGGGGGTTAGATTTACTGAGAAGCCTGAGCCATCTATGAGACCAGGTAGCTTCCTAAGTATTAGGTTGTCCTGGGTTGCAGGCCATGATACAGCTTGGAAGTAATACAGGCTCTGAGAGGGCCTTGCTCTTAAACTGTTGTTAAGCTTTGGGAATGTGATACTCTGGAATTGAGCATGAAAAAAAGAAGGCATGTGACAGAGGGAGTACCTATTGCCTTCTCCCTTTTTACTGCTGCTGGACAGGTCACCTTGTGAGAGGTTATGTTCTCATGGAACAAATAAAGTTCCATCCGCTTGCCCCAAAATTCCAGATGTCTATCTGTGTCCTTCAATTCCCTATTTCTACCCCAACATATCTGCAACTTTGCTATTTGCATGCCCAGTGTCTGGTAACTGCAAACATCAAGTTGGGTGGGGTGGGTGTGAACAGAGAGGTCTGCATGACTTGGTGAATTATCAATACGATACGGAGCTTTTCATTTCTTTATTACAGCTTAGAATCCAGACTAGATTTCCCTTACCTGAAAGTTACTAAGCGGTTCAGTGGCCTATGTGAAATAAATTAATGGTCTCGGACCAGGTCCTAATAGACAGGGTTCACATCACAAAGCTTCCTCTGTAACTGGCACCCCTTTTGGCAGCCACATCAGAAGCCAAAGATTGAATGGGCAGGACCTTTTTCATCCCTAGATTTGATCCCGTCAGAACATAGTTGCGGTTGTTTAAAGGAGTTGCTTTGCCTGGGGACTGAAATTTCCAGAATACTGCATTGCATCTGCCGTGGCTACCATGACCAGACAAACTCAGGTAAGCTGTTTTGGCAAGATAGTGCATTGGTGATGCAGGATGGAGAGAGTTCTATTGCTGATACCCATACTGCAGATAAACAGAGGCTTTCAATATGTGGCAGTATAGCTGAGAGCCCAGAAATGGGGCATGATGAGGATCTAGTGGGTCCCACCCACCAGCTGAGAGGGAGTGGGATAAAAAATGCAAAATTTCATGGTCACTAGAAACCTGGAGAGGAGATAAGAAGGAGCAGTTCACTCAGTCCTCCTCTCTCTCCCCCTTCTGTCATCCCGACCCTACCACATGCCTTTAACCCAAAGATAGTAGAGCTCTCCCCATCCTGTCTTCCATCCTCCCTCCCAGCTCTGAACTCTGGAGCAGAGACAGTTTCTCTGATGGAGGCATTGGTGCCACCTTAACAGATTGGAAGCTGTGCCACCTTGGAGATGAGTGCTGTGCAAATGGGGGGGGGGGGGGGGGAGGAGGGGAGGGAGAAGAGAGATTAGACAGAAGTACCCAGCAGCACCAACCCTAATCCACAAGCCCCACACCCAGCAATACCAGCCCTCCTCCAAATGAGTGAAAACCCTACAAATCCCACAATCCTTTGTAGTTGGATACAGTAGATGATGGGCAACATTTTACACCATTGTGAAAGTCACAGACCCCAAAAAATAGAGAACCACTAATTCTCAGTCCCTTCCACGAGCTTCCAAATTCACTACAAGAAAAAAATTCATAGTAATCACCTCAACCAAACCATCATTATGGGAGACTGAAAAAGTTTAAGGAGAGCGAACAGAATGGTAACTTACTGGAGAGGTTGTTAATCGAAGGATCGCTCCATTTTTAATTTCATTGCGATTCTGAAAGAGAAAATCCAAAAGGTTTTATTCCCTCTAATTATAATCAGCTCACACAAAAGGTGCAACATGCACAGGATAAAATACAACATTAAACCAGCAACAATGCTTTGTCTGTGTAAGTGGGTGAATGCCTCCCCACTGCATAGAACGGTAAAATACACAATTTCCCCCCTTTTTATGCAAGCTACCCATTGTTCAAGCAAGAAATAGAAATTATATATATATATATAGTTCATATGAATTTTTAACAGATTTGAACCATTTTAAGAATGACTTCATATATTGCAGAATTTAGCTACCATTGGCAATTTCTAAATATTTCTTTGAAATATACTATAATAGACATAAATAACTGCCAGTAATGTCTGGCTCTAATCTTGTGCTGCATAGCTGAGGAGTTTGTAAGATTGCTGAAACCTATCATTAAACATCTGCAGCATTTAAATGTTATCCCACTGGCTCTTCATTTTCTAGGACAAGAACATGCTGACAAGCCACTGGAACCAGCCACTGAGCTCTGCCACCACTATTTTGCACCCACCCTCCAACAAAGATGCTGAAGGGTTAATAAGTCAAACTGCATCACTAATGTTTGCAAATTCAAATATACCACAAGTCATTTCTCACATAGTTGGCAGAAAGAGAAGGGATAAGATATTTTCTTTTGGGTAAGCTCATATAAAATGTTAAATTAAACTAAGGCTAGGTCTACACTACAGCGGACTTCCGACCTAAGATACGCAACTTCAGCTACGTGAATACCGTAGCTGAAGTTGCGTATTTTAGGTCGGCTTACCTGGCGGTGAGGACGCGGGAAAGTCGACCGCTGCCGCGCTGCCGCCGACTCCGCTACCGCCTCTTGTCGAGGTGGATTTCCGGAGTCGACGGGAGAGCCATCAGGGATCGATTTTACCGCGTCCTCACGAGACGCGGTAAGTCGATCCCCGATAAACCGATTGCTACCCGCCGGATCGGCGGGTAGTGAAGACGTAGCCTAAGATGCCTGCAGGAAGCTAAGAATCTCGTAACAGTTTTTGAGCCAATCTCCTGTCCAACAATCCTCTTAAAAAAGATACTCTAAAAGAGATTCTAAAGCCCAAGGCTGCCTATGAAGTACTACCAAACATATAACAGCACATTTGCCTGTGTAGCACCTGACCCAAAGCTAAATTGATGTAAAAACTCCCACTGAACTTCAGTGGCCATTTGATGAGTCCCAAAGTCTCATTACTACCAGTATTTACCATGGTATTTTCTAACAAGCTTTGGGATACCTCCAGTGTAAACCCAAATTCTGTTAACACATTTATGTTTTTCTAAAAGATATGCTCTAGTTCAAACCGGAATTTTTTTTTTTTTTTGGTAAATTCTATGGCCTAAATTATCACAATGGTCACTTCTGACTTCAGAATCTGTTAATCTCTTACTTTGAGACACTGTTTTAACTTTTTAAAATGTTATATTAATTTTTTAAAATCCAGCAACACATGATTAATCAATCTAAGGTAAGGGGTAAAACAGTGATCCTGAGTTACTATAACTTCAAAATGCAACAGTTTGATTGAAAAGAATAATATTATCATTTTATCTATTTCTTTTATGAGAATACAGAGCACCAAAACGTAGAAAAGAGAAGAACATTTCAAATGACTGCAGTGTAAAGTGTTCCAAAGGTTGCTGGTTGGGGAGGGTGGACCTTTTTTACCTTTAAAAAAAAAAATTCCCCAACTCTCCCCACCCTATGCAGCTAAACAACAAAATAATATAAATAAGATGTATCCTGCTTGAAGCCAAGGTGAGTAAACTGGTCACTAAATAAGGTACAGGACATCTCTCCTGGTATTCAGAGCCATTCATGAGACTAGCTCTAGCTACATCAGAGAGATCACGTCTCCATCCACAACATAAATGCAGAACTAATTTATTCAATTTTGCTTTCCTCACAGTAATATTTTCTCTCTCTCTCTCTCTCTCTCTCACACACACACACACACGTAAATAAACATCCCTATTTCTTCTGCAGTCTTGGAAGGGGAAGGTTATGTTTGGGAGGAGAGGGGGGCAGATTATTCATGTTATTTCTAGTTCCAGACTAGGTACTTGAAAGCTACTCAGATATTATGGTGTTGGGGGCCACATAGGTTAAATAGATAGATTAGGTAAATATTTGCCTAAATAAATGTCAGCCCACATTATATAGAGTTGTACAGAAAAAAATGAACCACAATGTGTAAGAAGTGCCAGGAGTGATTTTGGTTTGACCTTCCTGCCATGTTCATTTATCTGGCTGGGTCTATATTAAGATTTTCAGACCCCCAATTCTCAATAGGCGGTGGAAGTGGTAATGTAGACAAGGCTCAGACAAGCCATCACACCTTGCTCAGAGTAGAGTACAATAACACTTTCCTATACTACAGTTTCCATCAGTGCTATCACTGTGAGCTGCTCTCATTGAGAATTAGCAGTCTATAAAATCCTTCTGTAGACAAAGGTTTAAGGGGGGAAAAAATGATGCCCTTTTATTTGAATGCATCCAAAGCATCAGTTTTCTAACACAGTAGGTTGGCGACACTTAAAAGGGGTTAGCTTCTCCCCAATCAAAAATCCAATTTTGTTTATCCATTCTATATAACGACTTGAAAAGTCTGCAAGGAAACAATCTGTAAGCACACAATTAGACCAAGAGGATTTTCTACATTAACTGCATGGTGCAGTATTCAGTATGCCAGTTAATTTCAACAACAACGTTTATAGACAGCTAATCTGCTCAGTGGTAGAGAGACTGTATCTGGGGTTCTTATTCAGGATAACAGAATGTCATTTAAACAGAACATCTTGGATTCTGGTATTCATGTTCGGAATACAAGGGTCAATGTTATTTAGGGTAGGATATGCCATTATCATCTAGGATGTAAAAAGTCAATTTGTTTTCCAAGGTATTTGGAGAGCCCTCCCACCAATCTCTGTTTCACACAGACACAGCAAATTCATAAACAACATAATCAATATGATATCCTGTGTTAGAACAATAGCTTATTCCTGGGCAGTGAGGAGCCTACTTCAGAAGAATATGCTAAAGCACTTCAATATTCTACAGCAGCCAGTCAGATTCTTTAAAACAGTCACCCGGACACTAGGCGACAGTGATGTCAGTGCCACAAATGTAGTAACTTTTCTACAAAATAATAATCTGGCAGGAGATGAAACTCTCAAGCTTCCATTTCACTTTCAAGTGTTATTTCCAATAGTACCACCAAGCATGTAAACTGTGACTCCAGCCAGCAGAAGCAGAAGCAGAAGCAACCAAAGCATGGACTGCTGTAGGGAGGGGTAAAATGGGGCCCAGCCAGGACCATCATTTCTCCCAGCACCTCCCTGGAGCTGGAACTGTGCAGGGCAGACTCATTCTACTCTGAGGCATTAGGATCCCGGTGGTAGCTCCCTCCCAGCCCACCTCCCACTAGGTCTTGGGGGTCAACTGCAGAGGCAGTAGGAGCAACTGCATAAATAACCAAAGAAGGTACCTCTGGACAAATTCCAGAGAACTTTCTACAGTTTTGACTGGATTTTCTCGTCCATCGCCATAAAAACAAAATTTGAAAAGGAGCATTTGTGGTTAATTCATTATTTGTATTGTGGTATTATCTAGGAGCTCCAGTCATGGGTCTGGACCTCATTGTGCGAGGCACTGTAAAAAAACAAAAAAAAAAAAAAAACCTTTGCTCTCTTGCCCTTCCTTTCCTTCTCTTGCATTAGTTGTGGGATTCCCTTCCCGCTCCATTCCCCTCCTCCCAAAGGTGCTGAGCACTCCACCTTCAGCTGAAGTCCATGAGTTGTGGGTGCTCAGTACCTTGCAGTATCAGGTTCTTTATTCTGTTCCCGACTTTCTATATGCCTTCTCCCCAGTTCTGTCTCCCTTTATCACCCCCACACCTCTTGTCTCCTCCTCAGTTCACCTCCTCCTCTCCCCACCGAAAAAGATTTTAAGGGCACCTGTGTCTCAGCTCTTTTCTGGCATCCTTTCATCCCCTTATCCTACTCATACTGTTTGATGGTGGTGCTCCTTGCATCTGACACCACCACTGGATTGTGCTCCATCTCAAAGCTTTGACTTTGTTTATCTTTCCGCTTCCTACTGTGCCCAAAACACAGGCACCATGGACACATCAGACTTTTGATGAAGTAATAGTGTTTGAAAAGTGGGCCCAGGAACATTAAAAGAGTCTCCTAACCATGGATAGGGACGAAGGTATATTCATTTCAATTCCAAGATGCCATCAAAACAGCCAAGCCAGCTAAGCAGAGCTTTGTGGGAAGAGCAACAAGAAAACCTACCAAGAAAGTCAAAAGTTAAATGTGTCATGTAGCGGTCCTCTCACTTTTATAATTATTATATCCACTGAAATGCATCACGATGTGACCTGCTGTAATTGGTTGGAAGGGAATGTGCTGGAGGTGGTGGTTCATTTTTAAAAAACAAAACCAAAAAACGTATTTTGGGACGGTCCGGGAGCTTTGGTTCTTGTGCTCAACATTTCATTTATTTTTAGATTCACACAAATTAGACATGGGTCTGTCTAAGATGGCTCTTTCTTAAACAATAGTTAAGCAATCCAAAAATATTTTAATCACACATTTACATCCAAAATAATTATTGTTTCTTCATTTTTGCAGTTTTTAAAAAAAACGTACTAAACTTCTTCTCTCCTTAAATGCCACAAAAGAGTTTTCATTATTAGGATTATGAGATATATTTTAGTTCCCATCTCTGTAACATTTTCTTTGTCCAAGCTGAGCACATTGCAAGTAGTAAACAAATATATACATTCAAAAATGTTAGATTTAAATTGTTTAATTCATTTTTAATAACCTATGGTATTGTTTGGCAGGAGTCATCAGGTGGTGAAGCTATACATAGTCTCAAGGTTCTTTTTCTTGGCATCTGACCACTGTTCAGTCTTTGAAGCAATGCTTGCATGGTTATGTTAATTTTGTAATTA